CCAGCGGCAGCGATGCTGCGGGACAGGGACCTGACAGCGGGCGATGCCCCACCTTGCACGGGCTCCGCCGGTCCCCGTCCCCTGTGCTCCCCCTTCCCGGGGAGCTCCGCTCCGCTGGGAAAGCCACAGCTTGGGCCAGATTAAGTGCTTGCTAAGTACCCTGAAACCACACAATAAAAATCCCTCTGGAGCGCAGAATATTTATGTTTTATGAGTTCATCATAAAGCTGATGCGGTGAAGATACCTAACGCATGAATAATTTGGCTGGGCTGCAGTGAAAGGGAACGGCAGAGGATTGGAAACGCATTTTCCTCCTCTGTCTCTTGTTTCAGCAGCTCGTTATTTAAAGAAGGGGCTCAGGGCAGAGCACTCAAATACACATTTCGCGCATATTAGGTGCCGTTTAAAACGAGCCTCAGCTCAAAGACCAACAAAAGTCGGCCTGTGGAGCAATGCAGGAGGCACGCAGGTGGGAAACAAAACAGCCAAAGCTTTCTCTACCCCACCAAAATGTCTTAGTCTGCCCGTGGCTGCGATGGTGAGGGGTCCTGGGTACCGAGGAGTCCCAGGTATTGAGGAGTCCTGGGTATTGAGGAGTCCTGGGTACCGAGGAATCCCGGGTACTGAGGAGTCCTGGGTATTGAGGAGTCCTGGGTACCGAGGAGTCCCAGGTATTGAGGAGTCCTGGGTATCGAGGAGTCCCGGGTATTGAGGAGTCCTGGTACCAAGGAGTCCCAGGTACTGAGGAGTCCCGGGTACCAAGGAGTCCCGGGTACCAAGGAATCCCAGGTATCAAGGAGTCCCAGGTACTGAGGAGTCCCAGGTACCGAGGAGTCCTGGGTATTGAGGAGTCGTGGGGTACTGAGGAGTCCCAGGTATTGAGGAGTCCCAGGTATTGAGGAGGCCCAGGTACTGAGCAGTCCCAGGTATCGAGCAGTCCCAGGTATCGAGGAGGCCCAGGTACCGAGGAGTCCTGGGTACCGCGGAGCTGCGGTGGCTTTGGGGATGCAGGAGCTGGGTGGCTGTGGCGCTGGCCCCCGCAGGCAAACCCAAACACCAGCCAGCACCCAGCACAGGCTCCTGGTATTTATTATATATCCTGATATTATACTCCTAAATGACAGGGCAGCAAAAGGAAGAGGATAGCAGGATGTTTCATGAAGGGGATGAAGAAAAAACTCGCGCTGATGACCGAGGTTGCATGGATGCACATAAACAGGCACGTGTCGCGCGCCTTACAGCTTCTTTGCCCTTGCAAAGGGTTGTCCTTGGCCGCTGCTCCGTGCGGGCACAGGGTGGTGGCAGGACCAGCCCCAGGGAGCCTGCAGGGACCGTCACCTCCTGCAGCCCAGCCCGCGCTGGCACAGCTACCGCGCCTCAGCCGCCCGGCCTCAGCTCTGGTTTCAAGGATTTTCACGCCAGACTGGAATATTTTTTTGCTTGGCTTATTCTGCTTACAAATGTATTACCGGGGCTGGTAGCATTCCTATCTTCTTCCTCTGCATCTCACCCAAACAAGGGCTGATTCAGTCCCCAGGCGATGTGCCGAGGCGGGTACAAACCGAAAATTCTTCTGGGATGTGAATCTGCAGACAAACACACACGTGTCTAAATATATCCACATCCCCGCCCCCCCCCGCAGCTTTTCTCTTCCTCAGCCACACACCCCAAGGACTCCTCGGGGTAACGAGACACGTATTTGTAAATGGCAGCACGCAGGGGTGGTTCCCAACCAGGAAAAAAAACCCAACAAAACGCCACAACTGTTGTTTTAGCCACCACGGAATTTGACTAGAAAGGCGAGGGCTGCAGAGGGGAACAACAAAAAGCAGCTTCTGCAAGCCATGGGTGAGTTATCGACACCCTGTGTTATCCTGATATATAATAGATATATTTCTTCCTCGCAGATCTTCATGCCCTGGGCACGGGCAGCAAGTCCTGCCGCTCCTGGGATCCCCCGGTCTTCCTCCCACCAGGGCTCTCCCCCGTGGATTTACACCAGAGCCCTAACAGGATCGAACTCCGACAGCTTAAAGTTTTTTTTCCACGTTATTTCCCCAGATGTGCTAAAATTTTTGGCCTTTTTTTCCTCCTTCTCCCTTTTTAGCAGGCGGACATGCTCCTGGGGAAAGCCTCGATACGGGGGAGCCCGGAGATGGAGGAGGACGTAGGGGGGGGCTACAGCGTGCCCAGAATTTCGCGTTTCCAGCCACTTCCCCAGCCCTCCAGAACAGCAATTCCCACGCAGCCAACAATCCCATGTGGGAGATATTTAGTGAAAGAAGTTTTTGGGGGGCTAAATGTGCCCGCGTGGTTTCTTCATCATATTTTTGTTGCATGCAGAGCAAAAGAAAGGCGATGTTTATACAGCCGGGCAGCGCCAAGGTTATCGTTTTTGTCTGATTTTTGGGTTTTAAGTGCAATATTACTGTCTCCGCATTGCTTCTGGAGGCGTTACGAAACCTGGCCCGGAGCCTGCAGATTTCTGTTCGGCGTTAATGGTCTGTTCCAAGAAGAAGTGGCTAGGAAGAGTTTCCTGACAAACTATGGGAAAATTTTCACACTGAGCGCGTTGGGAAACAGCCGGCTGCAGCTCGGGGCTGCGCTCCCCATCACATTACAACATCTGAAACAAGATTTCACGTCCGACAGCCCCAAACACCACAGGGCTGAGCCAGCGGCCGCCGAGGAGAAACAAGAATACAAGGATTTTCTTCCCCAACTACGTGTCCAAGAGCGGCACAGCCTTCACAAAAGATTCGGGATCTCCCCTGTGGTCATCCAACCCCTGGTGCCTGAAGGATGCTTAACTGGGAGCGTGCTGAAAGCGCCGGCTGGCTCCAGGCAGGTTCCCAGGTGTAGCTCTTTGGGACAACACCAGGGAGTGCCGCTTGCTGTTATGAGCTATTTTGAGTTATATTTAAAGCACTCACCCGTGGCTCCAGGCGCATCCACAATAAGGAAAAGTGTGTGTTAACACCAGGGAGTTTCTCCATGTCCGCGTGGGAGAGGCTGGTCCCTGGGCCGTGAAGGCTGCGCTGCCATTCAGTGGGACCTGGACAGGCTGGAGAGCTGGGCGGAGAGGAACCTGATGAAGTTCAACAAGGGCAAGTTTTACAGAGCTGCCTACAGGAGGCTCACCTGAAGCAGTTCATGATCTTGACATCCGTCCTACCGCAGCCCTTCTTGAGGAGAGGAGATAAGGACCTCATACCCATCACAACATTTCTGCAGTGGCACTTTGATAGGGCCAAGGTTTTCTGTCTGCAAAAGCCAAAGACAATATGCAAAGACAACAGAGCACCGTGTCCAGTTCTAGGCTCCCCAGCTCAAGAAGGATGAGGAACTCCTGGAGAGAGTCCAGAGGAGGGCAACAAGGATGATGGGGGGACTGGAGCATCTCCCCTACGAGGAAAGGCTGAGGGAGCTGGGCTTGTTCAGCCTGGAGAAGAGAAGGCTGAGAGGGGATCTCATCAACACGTACAAATATCTTCTCTACCCAGGAACATGGCTGATTGCGTGGCTCTTCAGGAACCGGAGGGCGATGCCCTCCTGCATCCAACTGTCGTCACAGAATCACAGAATTGCAAGGGTTGGAAGGGACCTCGGGAGATCATCTAGTCCAACCCCCCTGCTAAAGCAGGTTCTCCTAGAGCATGTTACACAGGACTTCATCCAGGCGGGCTTTGAATATCTCCAGAGAAGGAGACTTGGGAAGAGTCTGGCTCCGTCCTCGTGACCCCCACCCTTGAGATATTTGTAGGTGTTGATGAGATCCCCTCTCAGCCTTCTCTTCTCCAGGCTGAACAAGCCCAGCTCCCTCAGCCTTTCCTCGTAGGGGAGATGCTCCAGTCCCCCCATCATCCTAGTTGCCCTCCTCTGGACTCTCTCTAGGAGTTGCTCATCTTTTTTGAACTGGGGAGCCCCTGGGGAGCATCCCTGCCCTCCTCGCAGGTGCTCCCGGGAGGGCTCTCTTCCGTCCATAAACCCCGAGAGGGAGCCAAGATGAAGCTGGAAGCTTTGCGTTCTCACTAACAAACAGGGAGAAGTTTGCACTGTTTACCAGCTGGTAGGTGAGGGGGAGATTCTGCCAGGGAAAAAAAAGGAAGAAGCTGAGGCGTGCGTACCAGCGCCGCTCAGGTACCTGCACGGTCACGAGCGCTGCCTGCCCCTTAGCCACGGTTTTGGAAACTAGGTTCATTAACCATCTGGGCTTAAAAGAGAGGAAATGGGACTGGAGTATCCATCGCCTTTCATTTTCCCTTCCTGGCTCATGTAACCATGGCAAAGGAGCCTACACTAGCCTGCGAGATGGCATAATTCACGCCAGCCCCCATCCAGCTTCTGATTAAGCCTCTCGACACAGAGCTATGTAGTCTTCACATCTTTCCGAGCCTCACCTTAGCATTGCTGCTGGTAAAACTTCAGGATTTTGGGCCTGGGCAGAGATGGGAACATGCTTTGCTCCTGTTTTGTGAGTGATACCCGCCCCTGCTGCTCCCCCCTTCCGCCGGCACCCGGCGTGCGGCTCATTGACGGGAGGATGGGGAGAGCACGGGAAACCCACGCAGGCAGCTGTCGGAAAACGAGCTTACTCTAAACGCAACATATGCTACACTGAATTACGAGACCTTCAAATCGCTACGAGCAGTGCTTAAAATATTCCAGAATTTAATTACAAGCCTGTATATGCTTTAAATGCATGAATGTATAATGCAGACTTGGGCTGCGACAAGGGAAACTCTTCTTCTGCGTGTGCTCAAAGGGGCTGGAAGGGAAAATCCCCAGAGGGTGCGGTGGGACAATTTGTTGGGATCCAGGGAGCCAGAGGCTGGGATGCCACCACAGGTGGGTGACATCCTCTGGGGCTCTGCGACCGGGACTGCTGAGCCAAATGAAGGCATAAATCTAAATGATCAAAGACATATGACCAGCTACAAAGTTGTTTGGATCGAACCCTTTAAAAAATGCTTTTATTCCTAAAAAAAAGTTTGCATGCATGCAAACAGCTCACCCCTGTCCCAGGTCACCAATCCTGACCTCACCTGGTGCTCATCAGACAGATGAGGGTTCGCCCCTGACCAAAATACATCGTTATTATCTTCCACCAAGTTAAATGCTTTGTGGATTGTGCCTGCAAAGATGAAGATGCACTTAACATAACAACATGGTTATTAGCTTAATGGCAGGAAGAGAAAATGTAGGGATGAGAATTAATGCCCTGCTCTTGCAGAATGTCCCTGAGGAATGATCCCTGTGCCCGGGATGACCGTGAAGGCCACGGACCCTCCTCAAGGTCTCCTGGCAGGCATCCCACTGCCGGATTAGCATCGCAGTGGCCAACATGACACAAGATGGGCAACCTGGATGGATAGCACACCGATTTGTAGCATTATTATTTCCCTACTTTAATTAACATAGAGAACTCAAAGGAGAAAAGAGAGCATGTGCATTTCCCAAGCAAAGGAACAACTGTTGGGTAAAGACTTTGATCTGCAAGGAGGGATGTTGGACTGAACTGGAACGCTAATCACCACGAGCTGGAGCACCCTCCCTGTTTGCAAGAGCCAGGATGTCACGATATTCCTGCCCATAAACCCACGGAGGGGCCAGGGTGAGCCTGCACAGCGAGCCTGGGGTTTTCAGGATGCAGGAGAAAGCCAGAGCCATCGTTTGCAGGTTTGACAGAGGGACATTTGCCGGTCTCTTCCCACTTTCCACCAGCCAGCATTCCCACCGCTGCTTCCCTGCCCAGTGCAGAAGCACGGCGGAGGCAGCACCACGCAGGCACCCGTGGGCTGGAAGGTTTCGTTTAGCACAAAGGTAACTACCAGGCACTTAGATGACAGCCAGGTCAGGAGTTAGGTTTATGGTATAAACAGAGAGATGGCGAACGCAGACGTCATGCCAAGGAACCCAAGTGGTGACTCATGCTTTGCAGCGATGTCACGCTCAGGACGTTCCTTACCGGGAAAAGCAACGGCAACCATTGTGTTTGGCTCATTTTAAGGCTGGAGAGGAATCAGGACTACAGTTGGAATGGCTGCTCAGGGCTTGCCAGGGCTTTTAGCTTTTGATCTGATTTCCAAAGCTCTCAGGCTGAGAGAGGCTTCCCAGCCCTTGGATCATCCTGGTGGCCCTGCTCTGGGCCCCTCCAGCCTGCCCACAGCTTTTTTGTACAGCAGGGACCAGAACTGCACCCAGGATTCCAGGTGGGGCCTGACCAATGCTGAGTAGGATCTGGGGCTGTGCACCTCCCACTGGGTCAGTGGTCCTCAGCTGTCTCAGTTCTGGGGGGGCTAAGCAACCCCAGCTTCAACAGCCCCGGCGCTCATCAGGGTTTGGTAGCACTCAAAGATCAGTCATGGGCACCAGAAGAAGGGGATGGGGTGGTAAAGCCCATCCTGTCCCACACTTCTGGCCAGGGGCTGGGCTCCGGTGCCAGAGGTCGGCAGTGCTTCCGAAGCACCAAGCCCTTGCTAGGGAGGAGGGACTCAGCCAGACTAACGACTGCTTTAATTAAATACGGCAATATCATTAACCCGCTGGAGCTCGTCAAATTAGTGTTGCAAATGAAAACCGCATTGGCCTCATTTTCATAATGCAGTTTCGAGAGGGAAAATAGCATTTCGCTTGTGCAGATGATGTTTGCTTTTCTGATACAACAAAACCTCTTCTCGTCCCTCTGGAGCTTTGGCTCTGTTGGGTTCTGACCAAAATGTTTGCTTTGGCCCTGCCTTGGTTTTAGGGTACCTGTAGTGAAGGTGTTCGACGTGATAGGGGAAGGAAAAGGAAAACCACAGGAAAACAGTGAGAAAGAGGGAGAAATAGGGGACTTTAAAATAAGGAGTTTGAGGAGGAGAAGACGCCGGTATCCCTCCCCGAGTGCATAAATCATTTCTGTAGTTGAAAATAAACCAGCGTCTGTGCTGCTTGGACCGCTGCCATTTATTTTCTTATCTTTCTTGTTTGCTGAAGGGTGACTCAGTGCAAAGCTAACAAGGTGCCCACGGGAGCGCTGCTGGGAATGTGCTGATGTCACCGACTGCATCACAGCCCAAGGGCTTGAGGGCTGGGAGGGGGATTCCCACCTGCCGGAGAGGAAGGAAGAGGAGCAATAGGGATCCCTCCTCTCTGCTAGCACCCTGGCTCTTAGCCCAGGCCACTTTCCTTGCTTATGTTGCACTTGGGGGAGAGGCTC